AACCAAAGAAAATTCTAATTTGGATTGATTTTTTGGATTCTTGGTTTGATTTTGGATTTATATTTATTTTGTTTGATTTTTTAGTTCGATTCCGAATTTAGAAAAATGAAAACCAGAAAAACCAAATTTTACATATATATATATATATAAAGACATAAAGACATTCAATATCTTTGTGAATGAGTCATTTTGACCCATTCCTTAGTCTATGTAATTGTGCGTGTTGCTCACTCACTATGACAAAATTCAATCCCATCGACTCTATTCTTTGAAGAAAAGTCATCTTCTCTTTTGGGATGGGGCGGGCTTGTTGCTATTCAGAGTGGACGGGCGACACATATTTGACGGGAGGATATCAGTCTTTTCAGGTTAAGAAGGAGGAGGAAGGCTTGGGGTCTGATCCTGAATTTATGCAGTTTGTTATTGGCTATTGAACTTTTTTTCTTTTTAACATAGTAGCTTTTGCTTTTCGTGATCTTACTCAATTTGTATTCGTAGTGATTCATGCAGTTGAGTTTAACCTTTGTTGAATTGGAGTAAGGAATGGATAATCAATGAAAAGTCTCCTTTTTTTTCCAACCAAGGAAAATGACGGGACAATCCTAATTGCAAAGTAGAGTGATTCCTATACTCAAATGATCATTCAACTATTCTATTTTAATGATTAAGGACAACGTATGATGATGAAGTCATCAAACCAACATTGATTTTGCTATGAAAAAAATCACGAAATCAAAAAATTAGGGCTATCAACTACTATTTTGGGTTTAAATTTGGGGAAGATGACATAAATTAATCAAATAATTAATAATAAAGAAAAAGATAACATGTGGCACGTTTAAATTGGTCCATGACAGTGAAAATATTGCATGACGGGCCTCATGTGCGTGATAACAACCTAGACGAGGGAATGAGTCAAAATGACCCATTTACAAATATATTAAATAGTTCAATGGGGTGATAGGACACTTTGAAAGTTAAAGTGTCTTTATGAAAGTATGAGACAACTTTGGTGTCTTTATGTCTTCTGTAAAATTGCAAATAGAACTTTGTTATGTTTCAAATTAGTGACATAACCCATTGATCAAACTGAAAAAATTCTAATTAAAAAGAGAAAAATCAAACCAAATCAAATTTATTTGGTTCAAATTGAGTTACACTTCTTCAAAAATAAAAATCAAAACTTAAATCGAATAGTACAAAATCAAACCAAAAAACTGAATGCGCGCCCTAATAAAGTTTTTTTCTTTTGCCAAGTCAAATATAAGCAAAACCAAAACCAAAACCAAAACCCTTCTATTTTTATTTTTTTCAGCAAGTACTTGTGAACCGGGGGGCTCACTATTCCGGTCCAAGGGATCACGATGTAAAATACCAAATTAATCCTCAAACCTCAGTCTAATTCAACACTTTTTTCCAGTCGCAACAAGCTAAACAGAAGAGGGATAACAAAGAATACGAGAACAACAATGGCGTCGGCGTTGAGATCTGCTATACTCCGACACATCCGGATTCCGGCAACCCAAGCTGTATCGGCAAATGGATTGAGGCTAACCGCTGTCAGATTGATGTCGTCGCACGATGACCATATCACCAAAGATGAAGTCATCAAGAGAGTCCTTGATGTCGTCAAGTGCTTCCCTAAAGTCGACCCTTCCAAGGTATTTTTTCCTCTCTTTTATTTTGATTTATTTTATATACACATTTGATGAATCGAATTAGATCTGAAAAATCCGTCTGCAAGTTCAATCAATGGTCTATTTGTATCGTAGATAGCTGTTTATTGGTCTAATTACTTGGCCGATAGGTGCTCAGCTCTGGTTGGACATATATGATATTCACTGGTAAATTGATTGGTATTTAGGGTTTCGTTTAGCAATAGGCTTCTTTTTGAGCTTTGAGAATCCGTGAAAATAGGTACTATATGTTTTTCAAAATGATATGGGTATCTTTTTACTGGACATGAAACAAAGTGAAATATATTTAGTGTTATAAAATGGTATGGTTACCTATTTAACGCCCAAAAAGGAAGATTATATAGGCATTGGCTTATGGAAATAACAACAACATCAATCCGAAGGTAATCGGGTCACCTATATGATTAAACACTGTCATATTATCAAATTATATAGCTATTATCTCCTAGCACAGCACAAGAATAAGAGGAGAATATTAAAAGAAAATATTGGTGTCCATTGCAATTTTAGTGTAACATTGTCACTCAAAAAGCTTAATTGTGTGATCTTTGTCTGAGCAGATTGCGAATGGAACTAGAAGTTGATCCTCTTTCTTATTTTTCTAGTTTCTTGTAAGGTTGGATGTCAAATGTTAGTCGTAGCTCTAAGCGACTTTGAGACTGGAAAACAAGTAAACGAGAAATTTCTCATCCACTGAATGCTATGTTCTGAACTTAAACTGAATAATTATTTACTTTTCATGAATTCCAATCGAACTTAGTGTAATTTGATTCAGTAGAAGAGAACTCATCTACCTATTAGATGATCTTTGCTCTAAAGTGTTAGGTTATGACACCTTTCGCTGCCCCCCCCCCCCCTTTTTTTTTCTTTTTTAAAGATACGTCAATTAATTGGTTTAATGAACGAAAACAAGGGAATATAGGTTTATAACTTAAAAAAGGTAGAATTTAGAACAGAGGATGCACATAATTTCATAGTATCACCAACCAGGAAAGCTTCCAACACAGAAGTTTTTGTTTAGTATATTTAAGATTAAATTTGGGAACAAATTGTAGAGAACGGGAAATATTTTGGGTCACAATGGACTATAATTTTGTTCATTGAAGTTTGTTCCATTAGGAAATATTAATCTGAAAGATGAATAAGATGCTTTTAGAGTTCTATTGCAAGATGTGTTGGGTGGTAAGTGTCTGTCAAGGACTCCAAAATTAGGTCCAGGAATGTTTCAGCAGGCACTTATGCCTCAATGACGTGATATCAAAATTTATTCTACTACTTTCTTTGCCTGTCGAGCTTGTTACTTACTGGAAAATGCTTTTGCTGGCCCTCATTTCGCCTTCACATGATGAACAATGTCAAGTTGGTTCTGTAGAATTGCAACCTGGGTTTGCCAGCTGTTTTTTAGCTTTGTTGGGTGTTTGTCAGTGATAATGCATATATCTTGTTCAGAATACGACTTACCTTTTGATGACTTTTGCTTTCGCATCTCTGATCTCCATAACCGTTTTGAAGTCCCCGTAAAACAATTCAAGATTTAGTATCTTTAGAGCTCCATGCCTGGGATAAAGAGTTTGCTAATGTGATCTATGTGGTGAGAAGTTATTGACCTCTTTCGTCATCATTGTGTGACTGATCTTTGGCGAGATAAAAGATATGAGAGGGAGTCATGGGAGTGCAAGGGATGGGTTTGGTATATTGGTAATATAGGGGTGCGAGTGGAGAAGTGCGGCAAATGTGCAGGTTCAATGCAAATGACCTCTCTCTCTCTCTCTCTGTAGAAGGGTCTTCTTCTTGTAAGACAAAAGTAGAAAAAAACTAACTATTACCATATATTTTCTTCATATTCTAAGCTAAAAAGAATAGATAAGGTTTTACCAAAAGAGCATCAACTTTGACACAGTAGTATCCTAATCACTGTTATAAGTTGGTCTGCATAAGAATCCAGCTAGTATTGGGCATAGTGCCTTAACCTAGAGATGCTAGATCTAAATATTAATATGACATTTTTTGTATATATTTTGGATTTCATAGGTCTGGGAACTTTATGAGTATTCATGAAACAATTGCTTAAGATTGATGGAGTGTATATCCTGTAGAAAAGAGAGAACAAATAGCAATTTGCTAAGGGAATGCATCCTTTCTGGAAAGAACTTGCTTGCACGACACAAATTTGACATGTTTACTACAGTATGAATTGCCTTGGACTTCTTATGTACGGCCGTCTTAAGTATGTGCCAACAGGTGTTTCGTTTAAGTGTTTGCAGTTCTTCTTGTACCATCCTTTAAGTGTGATAATGGATTACGCAAAATAGTTAGGTTTACCTGCAAGCTTTTGGAGTAGATAAAGAGAGTAGGATGATGTAATTTCTTCTTCTTGTTTAAAAAAAAAGAGAGTGATGTGCCAGAAGACAACTGAGCCAATCAGAATGGAGGTTGAGAATTTGATTATGGTGAAATCCACCCCCATCTCACCGAAAAACAAAACTGCAACTCTTTCTCTATCGCTAGTTGGTGTTGTCACAGAAACAGTTCTCAGAAGAGATGACATTGTTGATGATATATTCTGTTGGTGGCGTTTGTTTGACTCAATTGATTCGATGCTATGTGAAATATGTCTTTCCATCTTTCCTTTGTTTGGACAGTTATTATGTGCTTTATGGTTAACGGTAATCTTTCATACAGGTGACCCCTGAAGTCCACTTTGAGAAGGATTTGGGCTTAGACAGCTTAGATACGGTAGAGATTGTAATGGCTCTGGAGGAAGAGTTCAAACTGGAGATTCCAGACAAGGAAGCTGTGAGGATAGAGTCATGCGAACAGGCTATTGAGTATGTTTATAATCATCCAATGTCGAGTTAAACTCGGTACACCACATTGTTAGTTTGAATTTGTTCATCAAAATCGAAGGTACACTTGCCCCTTGTCATTTGACTAGTTTCAAGGTTGTAGAATTCTGTGATCCTCTTTGGGTTTTGGAGAGGCAATAATCAGACTCTTATAAAGACAAGTCGAGCAAGCTTTTCAGTGAAAGAACATATCATCCTTTGTTGCTTTCCTTGAAAACACGAACTTAAGTGTTCATTTTGTTGCTGTCTTTCCTCTTTAAAATATTTTATTTTTACATGCTACAGTATTTCAAGCTTGCTTCCAGTGCACTGATTTCAAGAATCTATCCAGGTTACCTGTAGAGGTGATGGTAACACTGAAATTTCTCCGGCTCGTTACGAGTGTAAGCAAAAGAGCAGGTCGAGTCGATCAAAAATGAGTTAAATAAAAATAAATTAAATACTCAACTCGACTTATATGGGTAAAAACAAGTTTCTCGGGTATCCGTACACCAAATTTTATAAACACTATTCTTTATTTAATCAAATTCTAATTCACTGCCTCAAATTTTACACCAAAAAAAAAAATTCTCCCTCTTCATTATTATACTATTGTTTCTCCTTTCATTTATATTTTCTTATAAATATATTTCATAAAACAATTTTTTTCTAAAACACTCAACATATATAATTCATGTTATTTCCTTTTATAATCGTTTAATAAAAAATTATTATGTGACATAATTTTCGAAATAATATACTTGCTAGCAAATATTATACATTATACATAATAATAGATAAAACGAATAAAAGTGAAATCTTATTGAAATACAATTAAATAAACGTTACATAATTGAAAAAATTATTTTAAATTTTACATAAATATTGTGATGATTTTAGTTTTATGTATATTGTGATAATTTTTATATGGTTTCATCTAATCCCCCAATTAATAATAGTTTCTACGTCAAGTTTAATGTGCTTGTGATTCTATGTCTGTAGATATGTTTGTGGGCTACTACGCACGGCTAGAATACTTTACGTTGTTGTCATCAGATCTTCTCAACTCTGCTTTTTCTATTTCTCCATATAGCTTCTGAATTTTTGAATTTTTTTTTTCGAGGAAAAGAGTCAAAAATATCTCTCAATTTTATTTTATTGTTTAACTATATCCTTACCGTTAAAATAAAGTTATTTTTGCCCCTATCGTTATTAATTTCACCATAAATACCTTTCATTTGATGGAAAGCCATAAATCAACTCAGATTAACCCGATTTCAATTAAAATTACTCGATTTTATCTTTTCAATCCAAACCCAGCTTCCATTAAAAAATGTAATTATATAAATAATATGCATACATCAATCACATAGAGCGGCACAATCATCTTAAAAATAATATATAAGCAACATATGTGTATATATACGAACGGACTTTAACTAATTTGCAGCCTAATAATATTTGTGACATTTATCGTTTAATATATATCGGGCCCGTGCTTGTATGGGCAACATTTTCTAGACAAATAAAATCAAAAGCACAAAAGAATAAGAACATTGAAACAGGAAGAACACTACGTAAAGATTCGTATATAATTTTAGAGAATTATTTTAAAGAATAGTTGATTAACATTATATTGATTTTCTTGAACTAATAAATTTTTATAAAATTATATGCATTTGAAAGTTTATTACAACATTTAATCATAAAAATTTAAATATAAAGAAAATATGGAGATGTGCAAATTATAATATAGCACCTTAGGATATTCAGTATCTCTTATTTATGAGCTATATATGTGCTATGATTTGCTTATTTAATAAGAATTAATTTTTTTTTACAATTTTCATAATTGTGAAATTTTTATGTTTATACAAAATAAATATAAAATAATTTATAAAATTAAATTACATATTTAAATAAAATTTTAACTTAGGATCAATGATAGCGAGAAATTTAACTTTTAATAGCAACATTACTTTTTTGTTTTTCAACCATCCAACGTGGTTCGTTCTCCCCACTCTGGAATAGGGATGGCAATAGGGAGATGTAGGGTAGAGGCGATATGAATTGCGTTTAACCTGTAAAATTTTTAATAATTAAAATCCAAATTATACATAGTAAGTCTACCAAACATTAAAAAAAATAAAAAAATAGAATTATGGAAAGAATGGAGAATTTTTAACCAAACTAAGTCATTATATAAAATAATGTATCAAAGTAATACATTTTTCTAAAATTTTACAAAATTAGTATAAACGTATTTCACGGTAACATTTTTAGGATATATTTTATTTTTTAAAAACTAACAGCATTAGGTTGATATACGTTACTGTGAGTAACGTATATCAATCTGACGCCATCAACTTTTAAAAAATAAAATATATCCTACAACGTTAATGTAGAATACGTTTATACTAGTTTTGTAAAATTTTAGAAAAACATATGCTTTCCCATGCTCTATTTCTTCCCCCTTCAAAACTATAAATATATATATATATAGCAAATTAAAGTTCATGTCAAAAACATGAAGCATTTTTCCTGTTTCTCTCTTTATTTAACCTAACATTCTATGGCTCCACAGCCCAGAATTTGATCCAACCAACTTCATCGCTACAAGCTGCTCCGGCGAGTCAACGTGCTACTCTCCCTGGCATTGGAATGACTTCAATTAGATTAGTTCAATACAATGTTAGTGATACGATGAGTCACGTTAAGATGCTACTATTGAAGGATAAGCAATTGGATTCTCATAATACGAGTTGCTTGAAGGCTTGTTTAGAGGTTTATTCCAACGCGATCGCAAGTATCAAGCATGCTACGAAGAGTTATAATACGAAGCAATATTATGATGCGAATATACAAATAAGTGCAGTTATAGCTGACGCTACGACATGTGAAGATGGGTTTATGGAGAAACAAGGTGGTGTCTCACCGTTAACTAAGAGAAATGACAATACTATTCAATTATCTTCCGTCGCACTTTCTGTTGTGAACTTTATGTTTTACAATAGATCAATGGAATTCAAATTAACACGTTAATGTCATATGTATAATATGATCTTTGAATTACAACACTTTATGGATTTTGATTGAGTTGGATCTGATGGGAACCGAAACCTTTGTTAGTTACCGATTCGAGTATGTTTGTGGTGCAATGACTGAGGTTGTTTATTTCGTAATAGTTTCTCTTTCCAGCTCAAAATAAGTTGTGTAATGTTATATATCGTTTATAATCCTCCCCTCCTCACATTGCTAGTCGATTTAATTATGAAACGTTCAAAAAATCTGATTAAATGTAAGGTTGAAAAAATTGCTAAGAGAAATAATTTTTCTTTACGTAGGCAAGCGAGAGAGAAGCAGAGCGTGGTGCTTTTGCTCTAAAAGGGTTCAAATTTCCACCCATATCAGCTCGATCTATTTATTTGGGTCTTAAAGATTCATATGTTTATTTGTCCAACTTTATACAAGTTTAAGTATCTATTTATACACATGCAAAATTAAAGGACATAAATTTGAAATTAAAATAAGTTAAAAGGTACATTTATTATTATGTCATTAAAAAGTGTTAAAACTTGTTTGAGACGTAAAAAATAATTTTGTAAAATTAGAGTTTAAAAAAATGACATGTATAAACCTTTTTTTTAACGACGAAAGAGATAAATAAGTCTCTCTAAAAGCACGATGACATATTTAAGACTTCTCATATTAATTAAATCATTGATACAAATAGTATGTATAGTTTGGTATACCGAAAATAATGGGCAAATAATTTACTGTTGCGACTAAAAGGTCAATAAGCTAGGGAGTAGGAAGTAGATGTAGAAAGTTTCCACTACTTTATCTAACTAAGATTTTGTGTTTTTTCTTAATAGTTTCCACTACTTTATCTAACTAAGATTTTGTGTCGATGTGGGACTTTTGTCATTCTTTATCTACTTTATCTCAGCATCCGGTGCATGGGCAATTTTTAATTTTGGGGACCCCAACATCGAGTGAGACGGGCCCTGCTCTGATACCATGTGAAATTAGGTCGTAGGCCTAACTCACACCCCAAAAACTAGCTCAAAGGGAGGAGGATTGCTCAAGCCTCTCATTAATCACCGATGTGAAACTTTTGTTATTCTTTAACAGATAGACTTCTGATAATTTTATTCGTTGTACCATATTTTAAATTAAATTATATCAAAATTCTCCTTGATCTATTTAAATAAACATAAATAAATATACGAAGAACCAATTCATCCATTATTAATTCTTAAGAGAAAGTGTCATAGCAGATAATTGAAAAGTATTTTCATTTAACTTTGTTAATAGTGACACAACACCATTTTTATCCTTAGAACTTATTTGTATATTCGCATCATAACATTTCTTAGAATCATAACTCTTCAGAACAAGCTTGACAGATGAAATCGCGTCTGAATAAAGCTCCAAAACAATCACTCAAGCAACTCTTAACATAAGGATCCAATTTGTTAATGCTTTATTTTGCAGTCAGATCCGCTTGTCAAGACACTTGAAGGGTTTCTTTTTTTTTAAAAAAAAAAAACTTTAGTTTGTTAGTAAAAGAAAATCAAGGAGATGGAAATTGAAAATGTAAGATTCAAGGAAAATATTGTATGGAAACTAGGGGTGCGCATTCGGTTTTTTCGATTCGGTATTATATTATTCAGTTTGGATTTTCAGTTTTTGATTTTGAAGAAGTGTAACCCAATCCAAACCAAAATAAATTCGGTTTGGTTTGAATTTTTTTGATTTGATTAATCAGTTATATCAATAATTAGAAACATAACAAAATTATTTACAATTTAAAAAATTGTGTGTGTGTGTATATATAAAATTTATTTTTTTGGTTTTTCGATTTTCATTTTTCTAAAATCGAAATCAACCAAAAAACCAAACAAAGTAAATTATAAATCCAAAACCAAACCAAGAATCCAAAAAACCAATCCAAATTAGAATTCGATTTGATTTTTCGGTTTAATTCAAATAGTGCACACCCCTAATGAAAATAAATATTTTAGCATTTTCAGTATTAAATGGAGTACGAATTTTGTGTTATATATTTATTTGATTCTTTACTAGTTTATCCGTTTCTATTTATATAACTTATATTTTTTTTAGTTAGTATAAAAAAGAATAACATGTTTCTATATTTAGTATCAATCAAATTTTTTAAATGTTCATTTTATATAATCACGTAAATATGTATACCCACTTATATTATTTCATAAATTTTAAAAGTTTCTTTTTTCGTAAACTCAATATCAAACCAAACTAACTCATAAATTAAAACAGGTAGAATATAATGTCATTTATTCCCTCCACGTGCATTCGAATATATACTGTATGCTTATCTTAAAAGTTAAAACCTTACGTTTAAAATATATATGTACGTATAAAAAGTTCGATTCTTTCCCAATGATTGAATTTATTGGAACCTTATAACATGGAATATAATTTGCCTTTAGAAAAGTTAGTTGAGAGACTCTAAGAAAATAAACAAATTAAATGTCAAGAAGATATGGTGAGCCTTTAATTTGTTAGGAAAATTACTACACACATGTCATCATCATGACTTTCTAACAGTTAGTTACATGTAAATATTTAATTTTGTGCCCATTATTTTTGAAGTTGTGAAGCTATTATATACTCTCTTTTTTTAATTATTTAAGACGGAATATGGGTCAGATTTGGTGTGTTTTGAAATTATTTTCTACAAATTTTGTCCACCTATAATTATTATTATTTCAATTTGACTAGCTGGTATAGATTATTATTATAAATAATTAGAAGTGAAAACATCTACCTACTTGTCTTTACATTTAACGTTTTCTTCTAAGAGCTATTATTGAAGATTACAAATATTTCTATTTAACAGCTACTTACCAAAGTTATAATAATTTAAGTATATTTGGAATGTGCCGATTTTTGGCAAGGCTTTTTAAACAAATTTTTAATTCTAATTTTTATAAATTTAAGATTATAAAATTAAAAAATATTTTAATATATTTGAGATATCTCAAAATTTTTACTATAAGATTTAAATTAAAAATTTTTACTATAAGATTTAAATTAAAATAGGAAAAGTATACAACAGTATGATGCCTAGAAATTAGTGATTAGTCAATCACTGCCTATACTTTTTCTTTTTAGAAAAAAACAAATCCATATCTACATTTAAATTTGACGTTCTATAATTGATGGAAATTCATATCACCAAAATTGAAGCATGTCTAAAGAAATGCTTTCAGTAACAAACATAATATCGGTGACAAATAAAAACATCTAAGCGCTTGTTTGGTACACAAAAGATAAAGAATAACTAATTTCGGGATATACTTTTATCTATCTGAGGTATAGTTTGGAGACCAATATATCATAGTTTAATGTGTAATATCTAATTCTTAGGTGGGTGTGAGGATCAATACTTTAAAACAAAGGAAAATGAATAAATTTACCAAGGTTAGCTAAGTGTATTTTCCAAATTAAACTAAAGGTAAAAATCCATATATATATTCAATTAGTAAAGAAGTCCAAGCAAAGACTAAGAAAACACTACAAATTAAAATCAAGTAATAAAAATTAAAAAAAGATGAATATCAACATTTGAAAAATTTACCCATTAGTATTATTATTCTTAATAAGATTCATAAGAGAAAGTGCCATGGCAGATAATTGAAAAGTATTTTCATTTAACTTTGTTAATGGTGACACAACACCATCTTTGTCCTTAAATCCATCTTCACATGTTGTAGCGGCATCCATAACCGAACTTATTTGTATATTCGCATCATAATATTTCTTCGAATTATAACTCTTCATAGCAAGCTTGATAGATGGAATCGCGTCTGTATAAAGCTCCAAACAATCACTCAAGCAACTCTTAACATAAGGATCCAATTTTTGTTCCTTCAATAATATCTTAACGTGACACCTCGTATCAGTAACATTATATCGAATTAATCTAATCGAAATCATACCAAGGCCACGGAGAGTAGCACATTGACTCGCAGGAGCTGCTTGTAGAGATGAAGTGCAAAAGCCATACTTAATATTTGGATCATCATTTGCACATGATTTACAAGTGTTTTGGATTAAATTTTGGCCTTTTGAGCCATGGAAAAATAAGGAGAGGAATAGGGAAAGAGTAAGGAAGAGAGAGAAAAGAGGCTTCATTTTTGTTGTTGTTAGGTTTATGACATGTATTTTCTTGTTCAAGGGGTATATATTATAGTTTTTTAAGGGGAAAAATAGACTATAGCAAACTATAAGGGTGTCAAAATAGGTTTATATAAAACATGACTAGTAAAGTTTGGACTAGGTTAATAATTAACCCTAATTTTATTACCTCAACATCTTTTGATTCGTTTAATTCAGACTGCAGTTCAACTTTCGGCTAAATTAACCTATGAAAAACTTCGTCAAAACATAGGTAAGAAAAAAAAAGAAAAATACACAAGTATCCCCAATCTATATCCGAAATCTCACAGACACATTTATATTATACTGGGGTCTTATTTATAATTAATTTTCTACTCCTTTTCAGCCTACAGACACTATCTTGTGGGCCTAGCGCGTGTTGACAATTTTTTTCAAGCTAGTGCCACATAGGTCAAAAGGGATAGAAAATTATTTATAAAATAAGTTTAGAAGGGTAATATGACCTTAGTATAGTATAAATGTGGTCTCTGGAATTAGGGCATAGATTGGGAGGTACTTGTGCATTTTCGAGAAAAAAAAAGCGTTACTTAGTATAAGTTAGACAAGTTGAGCTAAGGCTTATTGTTTATCTCAGCTCAAGTAATGTTTGAATAAATTAATGACTTTAATATTTATTAATTTAATTCATTTTTTATTTATCCGAATTTATTTTAATTCGTTAATTTGATACTATTAATTATAAGTTTTTTTTTGTTTGTTTATAGAGTAATGGAGAAGGGTGTGATTTATTTATGGAATGGAATAACCGGCTCATCATGATTTTGTTCTTAATTCACATTTAATTTTATGACTTATTCATAAGATATTGTTCTATAAATTTGTTGCAATCTTAAGCTGTTGAGAAGTCATTTTCTCTTGATATACTCTTAATTAAGCCCAAAACTTATTTTATTTGTCACATTCTATTCATTACTATAACTTTAATGGAAATGTTAATTCCACACGTCATTTATATATTTGTATATACTAGTTTAATTTTAGCTAAAAAAAAAGAGTACTAGTAACTTTGGCTTTGTGGTCCTTGTAAATGAGGCGTAATTGATGGTGTCCATCTCCGTACTTTTATCTTTAGCTATTGTTATTTTCGTTAGAATTGAGGCGTAATTAATGAT